AGTCATAGGATCCTGCCTGTAATAATCTTGGCCATATGGGCTGAAGTAGGCCACTGGAGACCATAAAGACCTGGGGCAACACCTGCATTTCAGACATTGGGTGTTAAGTGTTTGAAAAAGCTTTCAGAGGAGAGTATCCCCAGAGTCACGCACAGCGCTAGAGATCCTAAGTCACTCCCCTGCCCCCTGTGCATGTGTACATCATGGTGGTCATAGGCCTGGAGTGGCTGGCGTGGTTCCTTTGTGAACCTTGCAGGTTCCCCTGTGCACCCCCATGCCAAACATTGCAGATTGGCGGAGGGGCCTGGTGGCCCTGCTTTTTGTGGCTGACCAGTTGGGAGGCAAAAACAGCACCATATTTAATACTGCAACTTTGGCCTTCCTGCCAATCAAGAGTGAGTGGCAGGGTCCCTCTGCCAATCTATGTGTGGGGAGGGGTGTGGAGGGGACAGGACATGCCAGGGACCCTGCAGGATTAATGGAGCTGTGCAGAAGACTTCCACTTTGAATTATGTATGTCCCTAGTTATGAGGTCAAGGTCGGCAAAGGATACCAGAAGGCATTGAACACATGTGACAGTGGTGTGGATGTACTACTGGGGCAGTGCCGGGGGCCCTAATAGGCAGCCCAGCCTGGACTAATTCCCTAACCAACAGAGGCTCTAACTGATTGCCCAACTCTGGTATTGAACCAACTGGCCACTGCTAGGGCCTCCTGCTGGGCTGCTGGTAATGGCTGTCTCTTCAATAAAGTCCAGCTGTGGCAGCAGGCTGCAGGCCAGATGACACTTCTGTGTGTAGATCTGCTGTGGTAAGCTCTCTGGATCCTGCTGGGTTTTCAGCTCTGGGTTTCCAGCTTCTCACCCTGCTTGCCTGCGTGTTTTGGCTCCGGCTCTTGGAATCGCTTTGCTATGCTTGCTCACTTCGTGTTTCCTGAACCTTGCCCGGGGCTCTGCCTGAGGTTTTCTCCAATGGACCTTATAGCTAAGTCCTTGATTCCTGATCTCTGACTTGGCCATAGATTTGGAGTCTACACATAGCTTCTGCCTTCTCCCAACAGCCTTCACATTAGGCCAGAACACCTATGCCATGGTCCTTACCGGCAGTCATCTTCATGTGCATGAAACTCAACAATTGCCATTGGAAACGCTCAATAAAAGTTTGTGTCTCCATACTACACCATTGTAAGCAAAATGCTGGACATGCAGCTGCACAGGTACGGAGCGGCGGAGAATAATTAGTAGCTCAAACATTCTGCCGGGCAGGCACAAATCCCCTTGGGGAGCCTCAATTCTATATTCTGACTGTTAAGACACATGTACAGTATCTACTCCAGGGTGTTTTTTTCAGGAACTCCAAGCATTGGAAAGGCAATTTGGTTGCCTGGCAGGCTGTTGTACTCAGCAGCGCCTGCCACCCTTCTCCTGCAGTCATAGAGGTGCCGGTGTGACCGTGTGACTATTGATATAGCGAGAAGAGACAGTTTCTGTGTTTCGAATACTTTTATTTTCTGAATGCGGATTTTGTTGGTGCTGTACCTGTAGCACTCAAATGAGACCCCACGCAGGGTATTTGGCATGGTCACGTGGTCAGTCACTAGACATTTTCTGAATGAATGCATAAAATATAGTGGAATCCCCCTAAATTGTTTCCCATCCTAAAATCATTCATGTTAATGGAAATGCTGATGGACATCTTTTATTAAAATGTTTTCAAACTATTATTTTGTATTCATTACATTTCAATAGTGTTTTAGTACACGCAGGATTATTTGCCTGAAAGCTGTAGCAAAATGAAAAACAGTGAAAATAATAGCCAAATGTCACGTTTTCATTAAAACAGCTTTCAATCTTTAACCTGCTTCTGTCACATATTTCATTTCTTCTTCTTCATTTATATCCCTATATTTGATATTATCTATTCCTTATAGTTTACTGAACATCTGTTTTGGTTGCCAAAGTTGCTCTGTATTGATTTTCAAAAAAAGCTGAGTACCCGCCCCCCTCAAATTCACATGTATTTAAGGGGTATCAATTGGAGTACTTGAAAAGTAAAAAACTAAAGCTAAGGAAAATCTTCTATTAAAAGCATATATGGTGGCACACTTGCTTTCAATGCTTAATAGAAAGTTATAGCTTTCCATTTTACTTCCAGAGTAAAATGACTTGAAATGATTAACATAGAGCCAAATATTCTGTTAAAAAAATTCAACCTCTTCCACTCCTAGCTCCAGGCATTTCTGGCACTCTTGAACCTACCTCATAATTTTAG